ATTTCATTACATTCAATGCTGGATTTCTGGGAGGTATCCCATGGTGGCTCCCTCATGTGGAGCCAACAAGGCAGCTATCATGAAAGGGCCACAGAGGTATCCATCCCAGGAAAAAAGTACCCGGTTTATGTAGATTTCAATTTTTTTTGCCCCTAACAGACCCAAGAAAAGTATGGGACCAAAATATTAGTGTTGTAGTGAAAGGGTTAAATAAATACATAAAGAACACAGATGAGGTCAGGTCAGTACAGTATAGGCTAATTTGACAACAAATCTGAGCATATGAGTTGGGTCATCCTTATGAAATCAGTGCCTGTGGCGTAGTGGTAAAAGCACTCACCCGGCTCTTCGCGAGCATTTTGGCCTGGGTTCGTATCCTGGCCGGGGAGGATTGACCGGGTGCCAATCCTTAACTAGTCTCTATTCACCCAGCAGTGAATTGGTACCTGGTTGTTAAATGATTTAGGGGGGTATATTCCAGGGAACAATTAGGATTAAGGACTTGCCCGAAATGCTATGCATGCTAATGGCTTTACAAAAATGTAAGAACTCTTATACTGTATATATAAATAAATAAATAAAAAGTAAATTAATGACTATCTCCAACAACAGATGATTTTACAATGTAATGAATACCTACATTAAAAGTGTACCAAGTAATGTCCAGAAATACTGAAACCCATAAATGAATTTATATTGTATCTGGCAAAAAACACACAAAAAACAGCAAATCAATTAATTCCTTTCAATCGTGCATTTTTTCTAACAATAAATGGATCCAGCTTACATTATCAGTGGTTAATTTGTAAAAAATTAATATTAAATTTTTATTTTTTTAAATGAATGTTTTTGCATAATGCAGTTTGTTTTAGTATGGCTCCAATTAGTTGCATGATTATAGTCACTCATGTATACACACATAATGTGTTAAGATTCCTGGCTTGTTCAAACTCTACACTTACATTGACATTTTATCCAAATCATTATTACATTCTCCAATGTACAGTTGTTCCATCTCTTGCATCAGCTCATTAATCAAGTGTCAAATCACCTGTTGGAATCATGTCATCTTGTACGGACCATGCACCTCCTGTACTTGGGTTTGATGTCCATGATAGCTTATATTGACCTTACTTCCCCAGTTTGACCTTACTTGACCTTACCTCCCCAATTTCTTTAATAAATATACAATATATGCAAATCACACATAGCAAATTTCTGATTATATATATATATATATATATATATATATATATATATATATATATATATATATATATATATATATATATATATATATATATATATATATATATATATATGTGTATATATATATATATATATATATATATATATGTAATACAGTATATATGTATATATATTATGTCAGAAATGGATTTACCTCTTAGATATTTCAATCTTACGAGGAACAGTAATACCAGAGAAAGATATACTCTACTGTACATCTTCAATTTATTCTAAACAAATTTTTTGTAGAATATATTTCATCATTGGTGCTATAACAAAAAATATAATTACTCTAAAATTAACTAAAAAAATAGTAAAAATTAGCTAAAAATTAGCTAAAAAAATTAGCTAAAAAATTAGCTAAAAGTTTGCTAAAAATTGTCAATAAAAAGATAACAAAAATTATAAATTGGTAGCAATTAAAAAAATTAAGACAATAAAATCTAAATATAAAATATACAGTATATATATGTGAAAATGAAACCTTATAGTGAAAAACACCTAACAACATACAGTACTGTACTTCCTTAAAGACGAAAATTGATGGGTGACCAGTTTATTTGAAGACAGAATTATTCAACATGGTCTGATTTTCATAATACTGAACAGATAGATTCCAAGATGTGGGATTTAGTCGATGAGAATTTGAAGTCAGAACAGTGAAATTTCCATATATTCAGATAGATGGGGTAGCAATAGGTTCAGTTCTTGGTCCTTATGCCAATGTGTTCCTGTGTAATATTGAGAAACTTTTTAAAGATACTCATTTCCCCTGAATTTAAGCCTATCTTTTATTATCGATATGTGGCCAATTCTTTTCATATTTTTAACGATTGCTAACATGTGGATAAGTTTGTTCTATACTGTATTTGAGCTCTGAAACATATAAATTTGACTCTTACTTATGAAATTGAGGTAAATTAAAAAAAATAGCATTTCTTGACTCATTAATTACTATACTAGTGGTAAATTTTTTACTTCCATTTACTGTAAGTCTACACACAGGATTAGTTTCTCATTATCTAAGATTCTGCCCTAACCTATTTAATTTGAATTCAGTTAAAACTGTACTAAACTTAGATTTCAATCTTTGTTCTGATTACAAATAATTTGATGTTGAAGTATAATTCTTGCACGCGTTCTTTTAAACTAATGCTTTTCCAAGGAAAGTATTTTACAGAATTTTGAGGAAATTCTTAAATACTAAAATTTTACCTATCGTTAAAATTCCTTCAGATTTCCTTATGTGGGCACTGCTAGTTATCATATTAGAAAGGAACTTCATAATATTCTGTAGACATTCCTATCCACAAATTAGCTTTCAGTTTGTGTTTACCAATAATCATGTTATTAGAAACTAACTCATTACCAACTAATTTTCATCTTCTTGAAATGCTAGATCCTGTTATCTTATTTTCTGTTTTGTACATAATTTTATGTTTATTTGTAAAAAATACTTTTTATTTAGGTTTACTGTCCTTAGATTTTTTAATGGGTACAAATTTACACAAATTTTGTAACTTAATATTGATGATTTACAGTACAGTACAGTATATTCAATTTTGCTGAACAATTATATTCTTCTTTTAGAACAGATGGAGTATATTCTCCAAAATGTTCTTTTGAATAAAATGAAGATGTACATATTTTCTCTGGTACTACTGTACTGTACACGTACTACTGTTCCATACACTTCTGCAGTATAAACAGTACTTACAAGATTATATTAAGCATATTTTTTAAATATTTAAGAGAATTATTCTTATCTTAACCTTGGTTCAGTATGGAAACACTAAGCATTTTATATAATATAAAAATTTTATTAAACAAAAAGAAAATTATACAGGAGTTATAGGGACCCCTGCCTAAAAGATAACAAAGGCATGGTTCCGGAGACCAAATTTAGACAGTGGACATCATTAATTCATGTACATTCTTAACTTTTCTTTTTTTACATATTTAAAATAACAAAGCCAAACCAGAAAAAATGTAATTAAACTACAACTGTTTAATAACAGGAGAACAAATAATTACCTTACTACCTGTCGCTAATTTGTTTTTACCTGTTCTAAACCTATTACCGGAACTATGCCACTTACTGTGTCTGTCTATTGTAACTTGAACTGGAATTGCAATATTTATATTCAGGAAAGTCCAAGTATTACATTAATCACAAATAAATGATTTTGGAATTAAACATAATTTATCTTAACATAATTTAAAATACCAATATTGTCTAGAGTTAAGTACTGGATTGTGGTTTTATGTAAAACAATACCTAACAAATTATTAAAAAATATTTTTTTTTAATTTTATGAAAATGCAATTGAGTTATGAGTGTAATGCTTGAATGTCCCTTAATAATGAGTAACTATGTGAATATCTGATATTTGTACACTACCAGCTATCAGTCCATAACTTCCCAATAAGACTACTACCCTTACTTCCTCACATTTAAGTAAATAGACACTACATTATGTGTTAGCAAACCGAGATTTCAACAGGTTCATGAAGCTTTAGAAATTTTAAAACTCTTAACACTTTCGCGTTCCACAGACTGAATAATTCGTCATTTATTTTTCTACTGAATGTGTTCCAACGACGCAATACTGAGTCACTCATTACAATATTTTTTAAAAATTTAAATTTTATCAGATCAATCTGGTAGTGGTTTTAAAATAAGCGCCTTTAGATTGCACACAATTTGATACCAAAATCAAAGATATAACATGAAACTTGATGTCCAAACACTTGAAATATTATAAATAGGTCTATGGTCTGAATATTAAAATATTTGTTAAAATTCTATTTATTGTCCTATTATCTTGGGACTTGTTTTAAAATGTGCGCCTTTTTATTGCGAACAATTTGATACCAAAATGAAAGATGTAACACAAATATTTATGTCAGAACACTGGAAAGATATAAATAAATTTGTGATGATTAGCGTCCAGAATTAAAATATTTGTTAAAAATCCAGTTATTGCTCTATTATTCTGGGACTAGTTTTAAAATAATCGCCTTTTTATTGCGAACAATTTTATACCAAAACGAGCGACGTAGCACGAAATTTGATGTTATCAAAGTGAACGAGTTGAACATTAGGTTGCAATGTACAAAATGGTGCTCGTTCATGGGTAACTTTAGGCTTTTCTGCGGGGAGGCACTCCAGCCTTTTGTACATTTTATTCATACACATCTGTAGGGAATTTAATTGCGAACACAATGATACCAAAATGAGCGACGTACCACGAGAATTAAGGTAAAAAAATGGAACGAGAATGCACATGTTACTGATTTTGTGCGTTTTTGCCGACTTTACGCTTTGCTGTTGGGAGTCACGCTAGGCTTTTGGACATTATATTTATACACACCTGTAGAGAATTTAATTGCGAACACAATGATACCAGAATGAGCGACGTAGCGCGAGAATTAAGGTGAGAAAACTGGAACGAGTATACACATTTGAGTGTCACCGCGCGCTTACCCGCACGGAGGGGCCACGATCCCCCTGTCAACCGCGAGTTTCCACGGAGCGCGAAAGTGTTAATTTTGTTTCACTAATATCCACCAAAATCGTTATGGATTCAAAATAGTTAATAATTTACTTTCTTATTATTGTGTGGTCGAACTAGATGCTTCTCCAGCCTCACTTCACCTGTCATTACCTCTTCCATGCTGTGTTGCTAATATATGCACAAATATACTACTTGATTACATAAATCCCTAAGAGTGAAAACTATTACTGATTGATGTAGGAATTAGATTACATTGTAGACAGAACTTGAGGTGCAGAAAAGCTGGAAACTTTTATTTATTTCAAAGATCTCAGAAGATTCTTGTAATGGTAGGGTTACTATTTTTATTTTATTTTTTTTTTTTTTTTTTTTTTACAAGTTCAAAATATGATCTGCCTGCCCAAATTCTTCAGTGATCTTCTGCGGCTTAATATATTGTACAGTATTATGATTGCCTTTATCCTAAGAAATAGCATGGGTATATTCAGAATACCAAAAGTTTACTGATAATTTTACTTTCTTTTATAACAAAGAAAGTATACAGAAAGAAACCTAAAGAAAATATTAAACATGCAATGAAAAGGTGTAATGCATTTTCTTTAACCATGTGGATAAAGGAATACAATTAGCAAAATTCTATCAAAAACTGAATTTTGACTTATAAGCCAAGGCATACTATGTACAGTATAACATCAACCTAACACATTGTGAATAATTTCCTCTGACATGAAGGCCATTCATTTCTTAAATAGCATAGTTAATTTGCACACAACACTGCCTACCATATATAGATTACAGAATCACAGACATATCTTTCTCTATAAATAATGTATTTCAGGCTTATTTGCCTTGGGAGTCACTGTGGCATAAGTGTCTTGGGAAACACTTTGACATGAGTTACCCCTATCTTTCAAAACACTTGAAGGTAAGTTAATGCCTATCATTGTCCTTAGAGGCTGTTATTTGATATGGTATATATATATGAGGCCAATCACCACAGGTCAAACCTCATCGAGCAATTGACAGCCTTTTTAGGATCATCTTATTCAGCCTCATGCAAAATGGTACATAATAACCATGGAATCTTTTGAATAAACATTATATTGTATTGTAACTTTAGTAGGATAAACTTGCTGCATTACCTAGTTGGGTGATTTAGACTAACAACAAAATTCTTAAAGATGAGTTTCAATCAAGTGGGCTGCATAGTTTATTTTGCATCCAATAACAAAAGATAAACAGATAAATTATAATAAAATTTCTTTCCTGGCTACATCTTATACATAACCACAAACATCCATAAATTTAGCACAAACAAATTTAAATTATTTCTTAAAAAGAGGCCACAGCCAAATCCATAAAAATTCTCAATTGAATTTTACTCTTACTGCTAAAAATTAGTCTAAGATAATTAAATATTTGCATTCCATTGAAAAAGTTCTTTTCAATTTAGCAATTAAGTACTTTTCACAGCTAACAATTGGACTTTGGCTACAAAGACCACAATGTCCGAACATGCTCCCACTGAGCGTAAGCATAAGGAGGTTGATAAGTTTGCTGTAGTAACAATTTTCCATTTTCTTCATATTCAAATGGCTTTTTATCAGTCTGGACTTGTACACTATTAGTTACAGGTGCCTGTATTTGCTCCGGCTGAGGTACTGGTATTGGTACTTGTTTTGGGAATTCTACCTGCTCGAGTGTTCTCCTCTCACTGTGCACAAATCTGTGGCTGTTGAGATGACTTTCGTGTGTGAAGCGTTTATGACAAACTTCACATTCAAACTTTTTCTCTTCACTGTGTACATACCTGTGGCTACTAAGGTAACTTTCATGTGAGAAGCGTTTCCCACAAACATCACAGGCAAACCTTTTCTCTTCACTGTGTACAAAACTATGACTATTTAGATGGCTCTTCTGTGCAAATCTTTTTCCACATTCTTCACACTCGAATCTTTTTTCATCAGTGTGTATAAATATCTGACCATTTACATGACTTTTCTGAGTGAATCTCTTTCCCCATTCTTGACATTCAAGCTTTATTTCTTCGTTATGCATAAACCTATGGCTATTGAGATGAATTTCTTGCATAAATCGTTTTCCACAGATTTCACATTCAAATTTCTTTTCTTCACTATGGACAAAACGATGGCTACTCAGATGACTTTCCTGTGCAAATCGCTTCCTGCACACCTCACATTCGTAGTTTTTTTGTTGGGTATGTACAAATCTGTGACTGTTAAGATGACTGTTTTGCTTAAAACGTTTTGAACAAATATCACATTCAAATTTCTTCTCACTATGTACAAGCATATGGCTGTTCAAGTGACTTATCATGTTGAAACGCTTACCACACAGAACACACTCAAACTTCTTCTCATTGTGAACTAGCATGTGGCTGTTGAGGTGACTTTCCATATTAAATCGTTTGCCACATAACAAGCATTCATACTTCCTCTCCTCACTGTGCACCAACATATGGCTATTAAGATGGCTTTCCATTAAAAAATGTTTACCACATACTTCACACTCGAAGTTCTTTTCACTACTATGCATGACCATATGACTGTTCAAGTGGATTTCCATGTAAAAACGTTTTCCACATAAATTGCATTCAAATTTTTTTTCGTTATGGACGAGCATATGGCTATTGAGATGACTTTCCATACTGAACCGCTTTCCACACAACAAGCACTCAAATTTCTTTTCACTGTTATGAACAAGCATGTGGCTATTCAAGTGACTTTCCATATTGAACCGTTTATCACACAGAGTACATTCAAATTTCTTCTCTTCACTGTGAACTAGCATGTGACTATTGAGATGATTTTCCATATGAAAGCGTTTACCACACAATACGCACTCAAATCTCTTCTCTTCACTGTGCACAAGCATATGGCTATTCAAGTGATTTTCCATGTTAAATCTTTTGCTACACAATGTACATTCAAATTTCTTGTCTGTACTATGTTTCAGCATGTGACTGTTCAAGTGACTTTTCTGACCGTACCTTTTATGACACTTTCCACACTCGTACTTTTTCTCCTGATTGTGTACTAGCATGTGACTGTTAAGGTGATTTTCCATTGAAAACCTCTTATCACAAACCTTGCATTCAAACTTCTTTTCAGTAATGTGCACTAGCATATGACTATTTAGGTAGTTTTCCATAGCAAATCGTTTCCCACAAACTTGACATTCAAATTTTTTCTCTCTGTTGTGCTCATGCATATGGCCATTAAGATGGCTTTCCATAGTGAAGCGCTTTCCACATATTACACATTCAAAGTTTTTCTCCTTACTGTGCCAGAGCATGTGACTTGTGAGATGACTTTTTTGCGCAAAGCTTTTGCTACACCGATCACAATCGTATGGCTTCTCATCATTTACAACAATAATTTCTTTGACTGATTCCTTAGTTTTCGGAGGAAGAAAATTCTCAGTCTCTGTACTTTTATTTACAGAGCAAGTTCCCAACTCTGTACTTTTCTGGGTAGCAAAATTTTCCAATTCTGTATTTTTCTGGGTATCAAAATTTCCTGACTCTGTATTACTTGGAGCCTGAAAAGTTCCAGTCTGTGCACTTGACTGTGTACTTTTCTGGGCATGAAAGTTTCTAAATTCTGCACTTTTCTGAGCATGAAAGTTTCCCAACTCTGTATTTTTCTGAATATGAAAATTTCCATAAAAAGGTGCACCTGAATGAACAAGGGTCTGCTGTCCCACCACTGTACCTGCTGGATTCACACTATGATATTTTCCTGGATATGGAATGTGTAATCCTTCCATCATGCAGATGGGAACTTCAAAACGTTATTTTTGGTTTTCTTCCTGCCATTCCTATTTCAGCTCATTGTGAATGTCGATTATCAATCATCTTGTTGTCTTCACCTTAGATGTTCAACTTCAGTTTGAACTCGTGATGCTACATCAGTAATCTTGTGTCTGAAACAAATGGTTTTTGTTAGCTGATAATATCAATACAGCAAACAATGGATTTTCTCAATGTATATATAATACTAAAACTAAAAATTATATTTACAGTTTACAGATCAGTTCTATATACTGTACATGATATCAGGTTAGAAATAACATTTTATGAAATAATAAGTCATCTAACAGCCCAGCCATTGGGTGAAAAAATATGAATATTAAATAAGGATACATATGCAGATTTCAAGGGACTTAAAAAAAAATGATCCAATTGTGAAAATGTCTCCCAATGAACTTACAAAACTGTCCTCATTTAATATTATTGGAAAGAATTTATATTATTATAATAATGTACTTTTTAAAAGATATCACTTCAACATTTACAAAGCACACCAACAAAATAGTGAAAAGGAAATTGCATTTTAAGGATTAGCATTGTTTGTGAAGGTCTAATAGTGTAAATGGGTTTGTTATAAATTTTCATACAAATATGTATTGTATGAAATTACTTTTAGATCTGAACGACATGTTTTGGGGAGAGCAAAAAGTGGCTTAATATAATAATTAAGTAGATTATAGGGGTTTTCTTCCTTTATATTTTTGGCTCTAATCAAACTAAAGACCCCACTTGAGAGGCCCTCCAATGCACGGGTAGTTAGAAACTTAGCAACACCATAATATCTCATTCCCAATGAGGTATACTGCACCCCCTGCATCCCAAACTATCTACTGGAGCCCCTCATTCTTGATGTGTGTTATCAACTACACTCCAATGGTAGAACTATCAAACTACTGTATTATCTGAAAATTAAATCATGAAAATATATTTTGCAAATTTGATATATATATATTATGAGTATAAATTGTATTTTAACAAAAAAATTATATGACTGGAATTTGGAAATCAATATAATGAGAGAATCCATGTTTAATTGTATGAAACAGTTTAAAGATAATGATCAAGGTACATAATATTTTCAAAGTTTGATCAACTAGAACAATAAAAGCAGTCTTTATTTTTTAATTTTAGGAAGTTATAATTGTTTTTATTTTTAGGAAATTATAGCAGCTACAAAAATGATAAATATTTGTGTCAAATTAACATCTCACCATGATACATCATCATCATCTTGCACTGAGCAGTTCCTATGACATTTTCTCTTCCCCAAATCCCTCAAAGGTACCTTTACAATTTCAAAAATGTTTTAAATGTACAAGTGTGACTGATATGAACCAGCCAGCAGTTACAAAATGACAAACTTGTACAGTATCAAGGAATATGCTTCAACTGTAATATTGTTGCTACATAATGTACCGGGTACAAAAATTCAAGCACTGTATTGTTTAATATACTGCTTTATACAAGTGCATATTGTCACTTCGTAGAAGACTCGAGAATATTTTTTATTTTCTTAGCATTTGCTAGGAAGCTCTGCTACTGTATTTAAAGATGACTAGCCAATTCAAGATAAAAGTCTTGAGTGACTAAGACATTGCACTAGGTAATTAGGTAATTACAGCAATTAATATATACACTGTATTCCTTGTTAACCCTTCAGTACAATACGTCAAGACTGAGAACATTTCTGCAATGAAGGAAATATAAAAACTCAATATAGCTTGAGCACTGTGTAGGTTTATAATGTTTTTTTAGTCGTAAGAAATAGTTACAGTACATCATATTGTGGAGTCTACTATAAGCAAAACCAGTGGCCAGGCATGACAGAAGAATTATCAACAACAAACATCAGCTAATTAGGAAGTTACAGTATGTATACAGCATAGTATACTAGTTGTAATACAGTAAATGTTACAAGCATGACACATTAATTATCAGGTAACTAAAAATAAAAATGGCTGATATAATGAATGAAAAACATAAAATTAAGTACCTGATAAGGAAATCACACATTTGTATTTGTACCATACAGTACAGTATACAGTACAAGGAGCAGCACAATTAACCCTTTCTCTGTGTGAATTGTAATAACTCCATAACAATATCAATTAGAAAACTTAAGACCTCATAAAGGGTGTTTCAGTGAGTGTTTCATCCTGTCACAGGATCTTATCACCCAGAAAAAAGGCAGTCGAGCTCCTAGAAGTGGACAAATATCCTTGAAAAATTTTCATAAGAATAGCCGTGCTATAAACAAAATGTTGTCCCAGAACTCGTCTTTATATATATACTGTACTGTATAATATAGTCATTGAGTAAAATTTTATGTTAATGTACAAATTATCAACACACACACACACATTATATATATATTTAATCACTAAGAACTCTTATTTGACCTGGCCAGGATTCGAACCCATGCTGTCCAGGATCACCCCTAAACGTACACAGTACCGTGACCACCGCACCAATGATCGTCTATAGACGATCATTGGATAGAATATCATTGGTGCAGTGGTCACAGTACAGTGTACATTTTGGGGTGATCCTGGACGGCATGGGTTCGAATCCTGGCCGGACATATATATATGAATGAAAACTCCACACCCCAGAAGTGACTCGAAAAACCACTAAACCATCAGTGACCGTACAAAAAGTGGTGATAGCCGAGGCCATTTGAACCACCACCCCGACGGCACTTTGATGGTAATCTTGAGCATAGCTTTTCATCAATTCACCTCATTTTTATGGGGCCATGTGAGCAACACAAATGCGAACAAGCTTGAATGGTCCCCAAGCATATATGCAAGGAAAACTCCACACCCCATTAGTGACTCGAACCCGGACCGCCAGGAGCACATTGCCACTGGTGTACACGATGCCTTAAACCACTCGACCATCAGTGACCGTACAAAAAGTGGTGATAGCCGAGGCTATTTGAACCACCAACCCGACGGCACTTTGATGGTAATCTTAGGCATAGCTTTTCATCGAATCACCTCATTTTTATGGGGCCACGTGAGCAACACAAATGCGATCGGTCACGTACGATCGTATTTGTACGGTCACTGATGGTCGAGTGGTTTAAGGCACCATGTACACCAGTTGCAATGTGCTCATGGCGGTCCAGGTTCAAGTCACTTCTGGGGTGTGGAGTTAACAAAATTTAATTTTGGAGAAATCATCCCTAATTTTCAGGGGCATGCTCAGCAATTGATAAAGAGTATGAATAAATACTAATAAAAACTCATGTAAGCCAAGCTTCGGGTAATATTAAAATAAAATTGCTATAAAAGTACTATATTAAAAATATTTAGAAATTTAGGAATAAAGATATAATTCTAGACAATATTTCTACAATTGCACATACTGTATTTTCTTACTGAAGGAAGCAACACAAGCCCCTTTCAGAGCACAATATAATACTGTACAATATAACAGTGGTATAATGTAAATTACTGGATTATCTCCAGAAACATCTTTTGTGGCATTTAATAATAAATTATGATTACGTACGTACATTATGTAATAGGAAAACAGTGCCATTAAATTACACAAATTTGTAGTGCTTAAATGATAACATTTATGATAATTGTTATGATACTGTATAACAAACACTTGACCAAGCATAAATTAACAGTAACAACTAAACATATACCATATAAAAAATTCACCATATATGTATTTAAACTTCTCACAGGTTATATATTTTTAATGAATTTTTGACAAGTTCTTTCTTAAGGCTATCCCAAGTACAGTAGTACTGTACTTAATCACCGAGGTTTATATTAATTTCATCTTTAGCCTGTACAGAATTTCATTGCAACTATTATAGAATTTTGATGACATTCAGAAAACATTTCGGTTAACAATAAGAAATTTTTGTAGTAAGATCTTAACCTTTTGCTCTGAAGCGCACTACTGAACACTGATGGGATTTCTTCTATTAGTACTGAAACATCTGGGATACTGTAGAATGCAAACATTTGGTTTGAATAAACATGGGAAGGGATTAGTGTCTACCTAACCTCGATAAAAAAGCACTTTACCATACCATTTTACCCTGTCATAGCTCCAGGATACAGTACTGGTTTTCATATTATTTGATGTTATCAGTTAATTTAATTACTGTGCTGTACTTGTAATGACAATAGGGTCTCCCTAAACGAACTTGTGTAGTTGATAATATTATCACTTCAAGTAGTTGAAAATATTTTCGTCAAGGGTGGAATTTCGTGCATGGGATGAGTACGGATGGGACAGACTACACAAATTTATTCATGTGAGTAATCTGAAAGCATTGAAGCTAACTTCTGCTTACATTATTTTCCCATAATCTTCATACGTATGTTCTACTTTCATAAGAATTTCATAAAATTTAAATAATATAATTTTTTGGGGGGGAAGGTGCAGGGAGAGGGGAACACCTGAAATTTGGCAAATATATATATTTTACTTGATTTAAATGTAATCTTTATGTTTCTATAAATTTGTTAGAAAATATTTGTGTTTACAATTGTTATTCATTTGTTGTGGAGCCTCACACCCACATTATGACAACTCAAATTTTGCAAGATATTAAATAATAGTCTTTTTTTCGAACCTAACTTCAAATGAAAATAATATTTTATTGAGTATTCTGAATTTTTATTTATTTTTTGTTGTTGTCAGGGCATTCTGGAGATAAATTTCCATTTCACAGCTAACCACAACCAAACTACAGTATAACAGTGGTTTTATTATAATTTTTTTCACTAACTCAATCAGTTTCTCAATAATTTCATAAGCTCGAACTATTAAATGAGTTTTGTCAAAAAAGCTGCACACGGAGGGTAGCCAAAATAAATGCTGCAGCGAAAGGGTTATTAATAAAAAATATAAAATACATAAACATTGACAAATTATTAACCCATCATATTAGGGAATATCTGAACATATTTAAATACCGTACATTGTGATTTTCTGAATTACAGTGGTTACCTAACTTGACATTTGCTTAAGGGACCAATAGATTGTTTTTTTAAAAGATGTTCAATGTCAACCAATATTTTTTTGACTAGTTGTAGTACAGTATATGAAAAGGGCTGCAATTGTTCCAAGTTTCAGTACTGCA